CAGCGACATAGCCATTACGCTAACTGCTGGTTCCCTGTTTCATGTATTTTTTAAAATGAGATCTTAAGAATGATTTTATTGAACTTTTATTTGTTTGTTTATTTTGGGAGAGGTTTTCGCCATAGGGCACACGCACTCGCCAGAAAGACAGAGAGAGACAGAGAGATGAAAAGCAAGAAATCACCCCCCAGGGAGGATGACCACGCCATAATCCCTTCTCCTCCATTCTCCTCTCAGGATCTTGGGTACGCACGAACATGCGCCCAGCGTAAGTTTAAGCCATCGGGTCTGGAACTCAAACTACAGTCGACTACATGGGAGTCCAGTGACATAGCCATCTTATCTATTTATTTTAATTTGATGAGAGAGGGACAGAACGAGTGAAAGAGAGAAAGTAAGAAAGCAAGCCACCAGGTCTGGGACTTGAACTGGAGTCGGTCATTTGGGAGTCCAGCACTCTTAACCATCATGCTACCTGCCAGCCCCATTTAAAAAAAAAAAATGAGATTGATTATTTATTTATTTATGTATTTATTTATTTTAACTTGTCCAGAGAAGGACAGGGAGAGAGAGAGAGAGAAAGCAAGCCATCAGGTCCAGGACTTGAACCGCAGACAGCTTTGTGGGAGCCCAGTGCCCTTAACCACCACGCCACCTGCTACCCTGTTTTATGTATTTGCTAAGGTAAGGAAGGGAGCAGGCACTGTTTGTACCTAGATATTTTGACTAATAGCCAGGCATCCTGAGGATGTGCTAGGTTTGCTTACGGAGAGTCATTCACTCTACCTCTTCCCAGAAAAGCCTATGGAAACCCATTGGGAGGCAAGGGGATACACCCTGTTCTCTTTACGAAGGAGGTATGTATTTTGCCTTTTTCAATTTCCCCAGGAGGCCAGAAATAGCAGCAGAAAATACCTGAGACAAGAAGACTGGAATGATTTCACCTTCAAATATATGGAAAAGCTCCGGCAGAAAAGAAAGAGTGAGTATCAGAAAAAGGGAGGGATGGAGTATCCTAGGGGAAGTAGGGATATCAGCAAAGGTAAAGCCGGGGCCAGCAGGTGGCATGATGGTTAAGGTTATGAACTCTCACTGCAGTTCAAGTCCCGGGCCTGGCAGCTTGCTTTCTCACTTCCTCTGTCTCTCTCACTCTCTCTCTCTTTGGTAAGTGCATGTACCCTGTAGCAAATTTAAAAAATAATGTTAATAATAAATAAAATAAAATAAATAATTAATAAAAAAATAGAGGTAAGGTACTAGGAAGGAAAGAAGAAAGGGGAGAAGGGAGGGTTATGTCACTGAACTCTCACATGCCAATTGTGGTTCGAGTCCTGGACTTAGTGGCTTCAAACTCACACCAGGCACATATGGATGCAGGCTCAAGATCCCAAGAGGAAATGGAGAAGGGACTGCAGCATCGCCATCCCTCCTGGGGGGAGAGGTTGATTTCTCACTTTCTGTCTCTCTATCTCTCCAGCGAGCACACTCTTCTTACAGCAAAAATCTCTCTTAAAAAAAAAAGAAAGAAAGAAAGAAAGAAAGAAAAGGGGAATCATGTCAAAAGATATTCCAATCTTTTTTTTTTTTTTTTTTTTTTTTAATTTGTGCTATAGGGCATGTGCGCTCACTGGAGAAAGAAAGACAGAGAGGGAAAGTGAGAAAGCACTCCCAGGGGTGATGGCCATTATATAATCTCTCTTCCTCCACTTCTCCGTCAAGATTTCGGGCATGTGCATACTTGCACCCAGCGTGTTTTTCAGACCACCGCGTCTGGGACTCGAACTGCACAGTTGGCTATGTGAGATTCAGCTGCTTTAACCTCCATGCCACCTGCTGGACCAGACTGTTTAACTCTGGCAGACAATTCCCTCCCTCCTCCTCAGACACTTATAGATCAGGGGTAGGAGGGGAAGGAGGACAATACAAAGTTAGTTAAAGAAGGTGGAACCACTGGGTTAGAGGACATTTGGATCAGAAACGTCTAGGTTAGACTCAGGTCCATCTCCATCAGGTTTTCAGAACCAAAACTAAACTTCAGGCTAAAGGGACTTGCTCAAAATCCTACCATCAGTGGCAGAGCTGGGACCAGAGTGTCAGGCCCTTGAATTATAGTGAGTCCTTTTTCTTTTCTTTCTTTCTTTTTGTTTTTTAAAGAATTACTTACTTGATTTTATTTATTTTCTTTTTCTTTCAATTTGATCAGAGAAAGACAGAGAGAAAGAGTGAGGGAAAGGGAAAGGAGAAAGCAAGCCACCAGGTCTAGGACTTGAACCATGGTTGACCATGTGGGAAGTCCAGTGCCTCAACCTCCATACCACCTGGCAGGGGAGTCCTTTTTCTAATGTGCCCTCTTTTTTCTTTTTTTTAGAGAGAGATTTTTGCCATAGGGTATGTGTGCTCGCCAGAAAGACAGAGAGAGAGAGAGAGAGAGAGAGAGGCAGAAATCAAGCATTCATTCCCCAGAGGGGGTGGCCATGCTGCCTGCGATCCCTTCCTCCAGTCTTCTCTTGGGACTCAGGGCACGCATGCACATATGCCCTCCATGAGTTTCAAGCCACCAGGTCTGAGACTCAAACCATGGTTGGGAGTCTAGCAACATAACCACTATGCCATTTGCTGGTCCCCTAATATGCCCTCTTTAAAAACAGTTTTAGCGGTGACCAGCAGGTGGCGTGGTGGTTAAGGCACTGGACACTCCCACACGACCAACCATGATTCAAGTCCCAGACCTGGTGGCTTGCTTTCTCACTTTCCTTCTCTCTCTCTCTCTCTCTCTGTCTCGCTCTGGTCAAATTAAACAATAAATGAATGGCATGATGACTATGTCGCTGGACTCCCATGTAGTCGACCATGGTTTGAGTCCTGGACTCGGTGGCTTAAACTCATGCTGGGCACCTGTGCGTGCGTGCCCAAGATCCCAAGAGGAGAAAGGAGAAGGGATTGCAGTGTGGCCATCTTTCCTGGGGGTGATTTCTCGCTTTCTGTCTCTCTGTCTCTCTCTATCTTTCTGGTGAGCACACACACCCTATAACAAACACCTCTCAAAAGAAAATTAAATAAATAAATGAATGAATGAATAAATAACATTCAATAAATAATTCTTTTAAGAAAAGTTTTGGGAAGATGAGCTGGGTACAACAAAGAGACTATAGCAACAGTAAAAGGGTACATTATCAAGCACATAAGCTGAGTCACAAAGTTCTAGGCTTGAGAGAGACTCAGAGGAACCTATAGGGACTCAGCATGGCTGAGCTTAATACTTCTTAAGCTGTACTGTGCATATAGGCCGGACCCCTAGCACAATGAGTGGTCAAGCCCTGTGCATAGGAAGCCACTCCCACGTGGGTGACCGCAACTCAAATCCCTACCCAGGTGGCTTGTGCGACAGGCCCAGTGCGTGTGTGTATGTACCCCAAATCCTGGAAGGATGGAGAAATAGGGGGGAAAATAGCAAAATGACCATGCTCCATGGAGGGGTTCTTTTTTTTTCTGTCTGGTGAGTGCATGCACACTCTGACAATGAAAAATAAATAAATAAATAAATAAAAAGCACATTCTGATGAACCAGCTATAAAGCGGGGGTCAAGATTGTGCATTTTTTTCCCTCCAGTTTTTGCTATAAGATGTGTGCATCTCCCACAGAGAGAAAAGAGAGATACAGTTAGAAATCACCCTCAGGGATGGTGCCAGCAGGTGGCGTGGTGGTTAAATGCACTGGACTCCCACATGGCTGACCATGGTTCAAGTCCCAGACCTGTCGACTTACTTTATCACCCTCCCTCTCTCTTTCTCTCACACACACTCTGTCCCTCTCTAGTCAAATTAAAATAAATAAAGTTAAATAAAGTAAAATTAAAAAAAAAATTACCCCCAGGGGGGTGGCCATGCCACAATCCTGTCTCCTCCAGTCTCTTCTTGGGATTTTAGGCACACAGGCACACATGCCTGGTGGTTTTCTTTCTTTTTTTTTTCACTTAATTATTTTTCTAATTTTATTTATTCATTCATTTATCTTAATTTGACTAGAGAGACATACACACAGAGAGAGAAAGAGAGACAGTGAGAAAGCAAGCCACCAGATTTGGGACTTGAACCATGGTTGGCCATGTGGGAGTGTCCAGTGCCTTAACCACCCTGCCACCTGCTGGTGCCCGCCCAGTGTGGTTTTCAGGCTGCCTAGTTCAGAACTGGAACTGCACACCTGGCCACGTAAGATCCAGCATCTTAACCTCCATGCCACCTGCTGGCCCAGTTCTGTATTCTAATGAGCTGGCAGGTGAGGCTGACATCGCTGGACAAAACACCATACTTTTTTTTTTTTTTTTTCCTTTTTTTTTTTTTTTTTTGAGAGGTTTTTGCTATAGGGCGCGTGCGCTCGCCAGACAGACAGAGACATAGAGACAGAAAGCGAGAAATCACCCCCCAGGGGGGATGGCCATGCCGCAATCCCTTCTCCTCCATTCTCCTCTCTGGATCTTGGGCAGGCACGCACACGTGCCCGGCATGAGTTTTAAGCCACTGGGTCTGGGACTCGAACCGCAGTCGACTACGTGGGAGTCCAGCGACATAGCCATTATGCCAACTGCTGGTCCCAAGCACCATACTTTGAATAGCAAGGATGTAATAACTCCTCTGCTATAGGAAAGAACAGATAGGAAATACTGGGCTGTTGGGGAAGTTGTGATGCATTTTTACATAGAAAAATACCTCATGACTTTCCTGACAACCCATCAGTAAGAGAGGAAGAAAGAAGGTCCCTAATGGCATCCCAGCCCTTAAGTCAGTTTGACAACCCTTCCCAACACCAAACCCTGACAACAGTCCCTATTTGACCTCTCTGCAGTGTGGCTGACGGTGGGGATCTCCTCAGTGCCCCAAACAGATCAGACCAGGCTCGTTCACACACTGACCTCCCTGTTCAGTGCTTCCTCTAAGTCTGAGCAGAAACGCTTCATGGTGCTGGTCCACCTGGTACACACTGACTTCACCTGGATCGGAGAAACCACTGCCCGCATTTCAAGCCTCTTCAGCCTGCAGATCTTGGCAGGGCAGTTGTTACTGATCCGTACTCCGCCCGACGCCTACCCCAGCATGGATGGCCTTGAGGAGGAGGCCTGTCGCGAGGAGTGCTACCTCAAGCAGAACATAGATTACGCCTTCCTCATGAGCTTCGCTGCAAAGTTCTCTGACTACTTCCTGTTGATGGAAGACGACATCTTTTGTGTCCCCAATTTTGTCACCCATATTTATTCTAAGGTGACTGACCTAAAGCCCAATCCATGGGTGCTACTGGAATTTTCTGACACAGGTGTTGGCAGACTCTTCCACAGCAGTGACCTCCCTTTGCTGGCCCATTTCCTCCTCCTCTTCTACAAGGAGAGACCTTCTGACAAGCTGATGGAGCATTTCCGTACCCTCCTGCTCCAGGAAGAGCAGATCTTTTGCACACCCTTCCTCTTCTACCAAAGCCTCATGGATGATGAAAAGGAAGAGGCCACACAAATTCAGAAGAAACTTTATGGTCCGGACAATCCCCCTGGCGCCATTGTCACCACCATGCAGGTGTTCAGTGCTCATTTCCCCTGGGAGGCCTACACTTTGGATGAGTCATTCTTCTGGACGTACAACGTCAGTGCAGGGCAGCATCTGACGGTGATTTTGAACCATCCAGCAAACCTGAAACGCGTGCAAGTGATGACAGGCTCCATCATGGATGGGACATACGCGCTGGAGAAGGGGCACGTGGAGCTGGGCTATGACCCGCAGGGGATGCCTCAACACTGTAGCAGCTTTGCCTTGCTGGGACAGCTCCAGGACGGGCAGCTGGACCAGGAGATACTTGTGAAGAATATGAGTTCCCACGTCAGCTGCGTGAAGCTGGTGGTGAAAGCTAGTCAAGCAGATGGGCTCATGATCAGGCATATCTACCTCTGGGAGGAAAATGCCAAAGAGGAGAAAGTAGATCAAAGTTAAAGATAAATCAGTTAGGGTATGAGAAATTAGTCTTGAGGCCATTTCATTCTAGCCTATGTGAATGACATGAGAGAAGACTATCTTTTTTTTTTTTTTTTTTTTTAAATAGGGGCCAGCAGGCGGGGCAACGGTTAAAGTGCTGGACTCCCACAGGGTCAACTGTGGTTTGAGTACCAGACCTGGCAGCTTGAAACTCATGCCAGGCTCATGTGCATGTGTGCCCAAAATCCTGAGAGGAGAATGAAGGAGAAGGAATTGTGGTGTGGTCATCCCTCCAAGAGGTGATTTCTCACCTTTTCTCTCTGTCTCTCTCTGCCTCTACAGTGAGCGCATGCTCCCATAGCAAAAATTTCTCTTAAGAAATTATTATTATTGGGAAACCAGCAGTTAGCGTAATGGCTATGTCGCTGGATTCCCATGTAGTCGACCGCGGTTTGTGTCCCGGACCCGGTGGCTTAGAACTCACACCGGGCGCATGTGCGTGCGTGCCCAAGATCCCGAGAGGAGAATGGAGGAGAAGGGATTGCGGCGTGACAAGAAATTATTATTATTATTTGGAGAGGTTTTTGCTATAGGGCGCATGTGCTCGCCAGAAAGACAGAGCGAGACAGAGAGACAGAAAGCAAGAAATCACCCCCTGGTGGGGATGGTCACACTGCAATCCCTTCTCCTCCATTCTCTTCTCAGGATCTAGGGCACGCACACACATGTGCCCGGCGAGAGTTTAAGCCACTGGGTCCAGGACTCGAACCACAGTCGACTACATGGGAGTCCAGCGACATAGACATTACACCAACTGCTGTTCCAAGAAATTATTATTTTTTTTTGAGAGACTTTTGCTATAGGGCACACGTGCTCGCCAGAAAGAGAGAGACAGAGAGACAAAAAATGAGAAATCAACTGCCAAGGAGGTTGACCACACTGTAATCCCTTTTCCTCCATTCTCCTCTCGGATCTTGGGCATGCATGCCTGCATGCCCAGAGTGAGTTTAAGCCACCGGGTCCGGGACTCAAACTGTAGTCGCTACATGGGAGTCCAGCCTTTTTTTCTTTTTTTTTTTTGCAATAGGGCATGTGCACTCATTGGAGAGACATGACCGACAGAAATAGTGAGAAGGAAAGTGAGAAATGACCCCCTAGAGGAGATAGCTATGGGGCAACCCCTTCTCCCCCATTCTCCTGGGACTGTGGACATGCATGCACACTCCCTGAGTGATCTTCAAGCTGCCAGATCAGGACTCAAACCATGGTCAGGCATGTGGGAATCCACCATCTTAATCTCTCTGCCACCTGCTGGCCCCAAGACTATATCATTCTTTTGCTGCCACCAACATGTTAGGAGACTCACTCCTTCCTTCTTTTCTACCCAAAGAAGCAACTCACGTAGGATATCTTTTGCTGGGCAGACATAGCTTAGCCTAGTTTGGGGAACTGGTTACTCAGAATCTTCAGATTTCTGGGATCCTGGAATCAGGCCAAATATAGGGGGTGTGTACATACACTTCCATGCTCACACGTAGTCAGAGGTGGGGGTGAGGCAATAGGAAGGCAACTGGGAGAATCATGGGACGTCGCTAGAACTGACATCATAAGAAGCCAAGAAAGGGACTCTCATTAGAAGCCAAATTCTCTGAAGTTCCGGAAAATAGCAGATGACTGATCACAATAAAACAGAATCCCTTAACCCTGTCCTTTCAAGCTCTTTCAAAGTGCCGTGCTAGTTCCCTCCTTTCCTCACCAACAAACTTGGACATAAATTGCTCGTGACTAAAGCTTCGCTCTCTCACCAGCAGTTCACTGCCTAATTCCCCTCCTGGCTTTGGCATCCGTATTGCTACTGAAACTCTTCCCTATTTGCAGTAACAAAAATAGTCCAAACCCCGTGGCCATTTTCAGATCTCATTCAACTTAACACTCTGCAGCAATGAACAATACTAATTATCTTCCTTCTCAAACTTTTTGTTCTTTGACTTCCAGGATTCACCAGATACTTACTTAGTGTCAGATACAAAAATGTGTCTGTCTGTGAAGACAAGTGTGTTAAGCATCATACTGGGGTTAAGTACAGGGTCCTTGGGAGTACAGACCTGCTGTTTCTAGAACATTCCTGGGACTTAAAGGCTTTTTGGAAGATGTGGCTTCTAAGCTTAGAACTGGAGAAGATAGGAAGGTGATATGGCAGGGAGATTTTCCAGTGGAAGAAACAGCATGCAGAGAAGTGGGTCAGAGGTGACAAGAACAAGTCATTTAGTGGACCTGGAAATGGAGGACAAACTGGGGTGAGAATGGAGAGGAAGATGAAGCCGCAGGCCTGAGAAAGAACCAGATAAAGAAGGATCGTAGAAGACTGGCCACCCAGCTCAGTGGTTAAAGCATGCAGATCCCACATGGCTGACCACAATTCAAATCTCATCCCTGGTAATTTGAAAAACATACATGACAGGGCCAGCAGGTGGCATGGTGGTTAAGGTGCTGGACTCCTACTTGACTGACCACAGCTGAAGTTCAGGACCTGGCAGCTTGCTTTCTCAGTCTCTTTTCTCTCTGGTGGGTGCATGAGCCTTGTAGCAATTTTTATTTTTATTTTTTTTAAGAGAGATTTTGCTGGATGAGTGTGCTTGCCAGAGAAATAGAGAGACAGAAAGCAAGAAATCACCCTCCATGGGAGATCACCATGCCTCAATCCCTTTTCCTCCATTCTTCTCTCAGGATTTTGGGCATGCATGCACACATGCCCAGTGTGAGTTTTAAGCTGTTGGGTCCAGGCCTCGAACTGCGGTCAACTATGTGGAAGTCCGGAGTTGTAACCATTATGCCATCTGCTGGTCCCACTGTAGCAAACTTTAAAATAATAATAATAATGATAAACAAAATCAAATAATATTTTTAAAAAAGAAAGAAAGAAAGAAAAGCATGCAGGGCACATGCACATGCCTACCCAAAATCTGGAAAGGAGGGGGAGTGCTTTCTCATTTTCCCTATCTGCCTCTGTCTTTGTCTCTCTCTGGTAAGTACATGCACCCTCAGGCAAAATTAAACACATACACACAGATAATAGATATAGAGCTAAACATAAGAGCTAAAACTATCAAATACTTAGAAATAAACATAGGCATAAAAAGTTGTGATCTTGTATTAGACAATGGTTTCTTAGTTATGATGCCAAAATCATAAACACTCAAAAAACAGATAAGCTGGACTTCATCAAATCAAAATCTTTCTGTGCTTTACAGGACACTATTTGACAAGGAAAATGATGGGGCCAGCAGGTGGATGGTGGTGAAGGCACTAGACTCCCACATGGCTGACCACAGTTCAAGTCTCTGGCCCAGTGGCTTAAAAATCATGCCACATGCATGATTTTGTGCATGCTTGCCCAAAATCCCTGGAGAGTAGAAAAGAAGGGATTGTAGTGTGGCCATCCCAGCTGGAAGGCTATTCCATCTCTTACTCTCTCTCTCTCTCTCTCTCTCTCTGGTGAGCACACATGCTCTATGGCAAATACCTTAAAAAAAAAAAAGGGAAGGGACCAGCAGATGGCGTAATGGTTATGTCGGTCACTGGACTCCCTTGTTTTAATTTCCACACCACCTGCTGGCCCTAGTCAGCCATTTATCAAGAGAAGCTGGAAATTTTGTTTTCTATGTTAAACCTCCCAATTTTTTTAATGTTGGCAACTAATTTTAAATGTATCAAAACACAGGTTTTTTTTTTTAAGACCACAACGCCACCTGCTGGTCCTCAAAACACAGTTTTATCTTGTTTGTTTGTTTTCTTTTTAGAGAGATTTTTGTTAGAGGGCACATGTGCTCACTGGAGAGAGAGAGAGACAGAAAGCAAGAAATCACCCCACTAGGGGGATGGCCACGCTACAATTCCTACTCCATTCTCCTCTCAGGAGTTTGGGCACACATGCACAGGTGCCCGGTGTGAGTTTTAAGGACTCCAGCAACATAACCGTCACACCATCTGCTCCTACCATCAAAGCACAGTTTTAAAAGCCCAGAGTGACTGTCTGCTCCGGGGAGGCTAGGTTATTAGACCTGTGGTTAGGTTACAACTTCCTCATACTCTCTGACAATTATTTTTATTTTTAAGGTTTTTTTTCTTTTTTTTTGTTTTATTCCCATGAGCAAGAGCAAGAGAGAAAGGGAGACAGACAGATAGCAGCCACGGCAGGGTCCTGATGTTATCAGCCATCCCCACCCTCAGCCAGCCTTAGGCCATGAGAATAAAGATGTCTGGCTTACTCAGAGAGGTCTCTGGACATGAACCTAGAACTTTCCTATGAGAGTCAGCTTTGCAGAGCATTGCTTTTGACCAATGTGCCCCTGTCCAGCTACACAAACTGTTTTTTTTGTTTTGCTATAGGGTGTGTGATCACCAGAGAGAGACAGGGTTGGGGTGTGAGAAATCACCACCCAGGGTAGATGATCGCACTGCAGTCCTTTCTCCTCCATTCTCCCCTTGAGACTTTGAGTATGTACACATATGCACCTGCGTGGTTTTCAAGCCACCGGGCCCAGGAGTCGAACCACCAAGTCAGCCAGGTGAGACTGACTCCACACAAACATTTTTAGCTTCAGATGCTCTGCTCACCTGATGGGTTTCTAGGACAAACCCTCACCTCTACCAGTAACACCAGTCCTCTCTGAGCACAGATGATGTTGAAGACGGCTGAACGGATCTATCATTGATCCCATTAGCTCCACTTTCAGAGGCTGGCTGTATCCTGATATTGACCCAGCCACCATGTCCCCAAGGCATGCCTCTTTCTCGTGTACTGGGCCTGGGGCTCTCACCTTGAAGAAGTTGCAATGTGAAGGTTGATGATGTAAGTCAGTAGGGGATGGGCAGAGGAAATGCAATTAGAAGAAAGCCACCCAGGTCACTGAAGCATAGTCAGTCACAGGGGTTCTGGAGATGTGTCCCGAGAACACCATTTTTCCTCCGACTTCTGCTTAAAGAAAATCCAATACAAAGAAGAAAAGAAAATCCCAAGCAAGGTGCAAGGGATG